CAGTTCTTGTTTCCCTGGGTAAGGGTTTTAAATTTAGTTCTTGCTTTTCGCTCTGTGAGCGAATCATCAAAGCGTTTACCCAGAGGAGCCATAAATCTTTTATAGTCTCTCAGTAGGGGGGGGGGTCAGCATTATGCAGGGCTTCCATCCAAATGGCTGCCTTATTTTCCAACGCCATTGTAATTTTTCTTACATTGGCCTCTTCAATTGGAAGATCGTCTCTGAACTGTTGCATGTAATTCCACAGTTGCCCGAGGGAAACCATAAAATCTTTGGATTCTCCCCCAGATTTCACACCCAGAGGGGAAGCTTTAGCCATCTGGCATCTGCAGGGGGCCATCCTCCTCTTGGAATGTTTCTGGCTGTTGTTGGTGGGGTCGTGGCTGAGTCATCCTGATCAGTTCCACCTTCAGCCCCCCCCCCCAGCTTCTCTCAGGCAGAGCAAATCCTCTACAGACCTCTCCTCCATTTCATGGAGATCTACTTCTCTTCCAGGGTCACGACGGGAATGTTGCCTCTCCCAAGCCTCTTCAAATAGCTTCATAGCATGGGACATCATCTCCTCATCTTCTGCCTGGTCACTGCCTTGTTGGGACATTTTCCAGGGGGTTTAGGATTTGGTTGCACTCCCCTTGGAAGGTATTAGCTCCAGGATGAGCGTGAGACTGAGATCTTGCTTAATGTCAGGGCTGCTTCCCTCAGTAACTAAGAAAGAAACCACTCAACTCCATTTTGCAGAATTTAGAGTACTTTTACTGGTTATGAGTAGATGGTAGCTAGGCAAAGCAAGATCTGAGGCAAAAACGTGCGTAATCAAAGATATCAATATGTGACCCCAACCCCCTCCCCCTGGTAATTACATCCCATAGTCCAATCAGTTCACCCCACAGGCATCATGTGAGCAACATCTTCAAAAAGCATCATCAGGCTGGTATGCCGGACAGTTGGCCTTGGCAGCAAATCGTCTATCTGCAGCATGCGCAGTAGATGGTGAGAACAACTCCCTTTTCACAGGCACTCCTGCACTGACACTTCCCCACCCAGATACAATGCCCCCCCTCCCTGTTTCAATGGCAGCCGAAAGCAAGCAGCAAAGCAGAGGCTGACAGTAACAGTATTCCATGCACTTTTGTTTTTTAATCATGCCNGGTGTTTCAAAACTGGTTCAGCCGCAAACAGTCGTTTTAGTTTTTCAAATGCGGCTTGACACTCCATAGTCCAATTTAAGGGCTTCCCTGGTATAGGCTTGGCCCCTCCCTTTGATTTTAGGAGGTTCGTAATAGGGAATGCTGGCGAACGAGGGAATAAATTGACAATAAAAATTTGCAAATCCCAAAAAACTTTGCAATTGTTTGCGGGTGCGGGGAGGCGTCCATTCAGTGACAGCTTGGACCTTTGCTGGGTCCATCTTGATCCCATCATGGGAGATGTGATACCCAAGGTAGTCAATTTTCTCCTGATGAAATTCACACTTACACAATTTTGCATACAGTTCCACTGCTCGGAGCTTTTTTAGCACTGAGCGGACCAGTTTCACATGTTCTTTACATGTTTCCATGTAAATAAGGATGTCATCAAGATAGACCATCATGCCTTTGTAGAGGTGGTCATGCAAAACCTCATTAATCAGTTGCATGAAAACAGCTGGTGTCCCCTGCAGGCCAAATGGGAGAACCCGGAATTGAAAATAACCAATAGGGCAGTTTTCCATTTGTCTCCCTCTTTAATTCTGACTCTGTAATAGGCCTCTCGCAGGTCTAATTTCGTGAAAATCTTTCCTTTACCCAATTGGGCCAGCATATCTTTTATTAATGGTAATGGGTAGAGGTTCTGAACACAGACCGTGTTAAGGTTCTTAAAGTTGACACATAGACGAAAGGAGCCTCTGAACAAAACTGGAGCAGCCACTCGGGGTCTAGCAGGCTCAATGAATCCCCTCTGCAAATTTTTGTCAATAAACTTCCTTAACTCATCCATTTCATTGGGGGGGGGGTGTCATTGAATAAATCTGAGGTTTTGGAAGTTTTACTCTGAGGAGAATATCAATGCTGCAATCAGTGGCATGATGTGAGGGTAATTTATAAGATGATTTTCACTGAAAACATCTTTTAGATCCCAATATTCTTTTGGGATTTTCTCCTCCCCCTCAATTTTTTCTTGCCCCCTGGCTGCTAGGTTGGGGCCAGCGTTACTCCGTTTGGGAGCCCCCCTCTCCTTCAGGGGGTATAGCAGATCGGATGCGTATCCACCCTTTCCTCCAATTGATGTGTGGATTCCATTTATATAACCAGGGTAAGCCTAATATAAGAGGCCGGGCCATCCCTGGAGCTACAATAAAACTTATTGACTCTTGGTGAGTTCCCATCCACATGTCTATTGGCTCAGTCAAAAAATGGGTTGGGCTCCCTCCAGCTATTGAGCTGTCCAACTGGCAAAAAGCAATTGGGACTTTCAAAGTTTTTAGTCTTAGGCCCAATTTTTCCACTACTTCACGGCTAATGATACAACGTGTGCAACCCGAATCTAAAAGAGCCAGCATTTTCTCTTGTGCTCCAGTAGAGGGCATTTTAAGTTCCACTGGAT